TGAACACATTCCTCGACACATCATAAGACACTCCCTCCCTATTTTTCATAATTACCACATCATATTTTTTAACTTATTTGTTATATTTATCTTATTTTTCCCTTTATTATTTTTTTTTACAGTTGTAGATTTACAATTTTTTGTGCTTGGGTTTCGATTATACAATGATCAGATACCCATCCCTCCACCAGCGCCCATTCTCCACCACCATGGACAATATCCCCCCACCCCCATCCCCCCATCCCCCCCTGTCTCTGTGGCAGGGCAATCCCCTGTGTTCTCTCTCTCCTTTTGGGTGTTGTGGTCTGCAAAAGAGGCATTGAGTGGCAAACATGTTCAGAACATAGTCTACTTTCGACATGCATCTCCCCTCCTGGGAGGATCCTCCAAACATCCTTTATTTGGTGCTCCCTTCTCTATCTGAGCTGCCCTTTCCTCTAGGATACCCGGCTGGCCTCTAAGTTATGGAGTAATCCTCCTGGTGCTGATCTCAGCTATTCTTGGGTATTAATCTCATACTTTGTTACTTTATATCCCCCAGATGAATGCAATCTTTCTATGTCTATCCCTCTCTTTCTGACTCATTTCGCTTAGCATGATACTTTCCATATTGTACCACTTGTATGTAAATTTCATGACTTCATCTTTTCTAACAGCTACATAGTACTCCATTGTGTAGATGTACCAGAGTTTCTTTAACCAGTCATCTGTTCTTGGGCATTCAGGTTTCTTCCAGTTTCTGGCTATTTAAAGAGTGCTGCAATGAACAAACAAGTGCAGATGTCACTTCGACTATACATTTTTGCCTCTCTGGGATATATTCCCAGGAGTGGTATTGCTGGGTCGAATGGGAGCTCAATTTCTAATTTTTTGAGAATCGTCCATACTGTTTTCCAGAAGGGCTGAACCAGTGGACATTCCCACCAACAGTGAAGGAGTGTCCCTTTCTCGCCACATCCACGCCAGCATCTGTTGCTTTTGTTCTTTTGAATGTGGGCCAGTCTCTGAGGTGTGAGATGGTATCTCATTGTGGTTTTGATCTGCATCTCCCTGATGATTAATGATGTAGAGCATTTTCTCATGTGCTTTTTTGCCATTCGGATTTCTTCTTTGAGAAAGTTTCTGTTCATTTCATTGCCCCATTTTTGGATGGGGTTGGATGTTTTCTTCTTGTGGAGTTTAACCAGTATTTTGTATATCCTGGATATCAACCCCTTGTCAGATGTGTATTCGGTGAATATCCTTTCCCATTCTGTAGACTGTCTTTGTATTTTGGTCACTGTTTCTTTGGAGGTGCAGAAGCTTCTTAGTTTAAGATAGTCCCATTTATCTATCTCTGTTTTCACTTTACCACATCATATTTGATGGGGTTCAGACAGTAGGTAGCAAATCACAGAGGGATATAATATGTATATTATACTACTTGGGCAGCCCAGCAAGCTACCAAGAATATCCCGTCCGCATGGCAGAGCCTGGCAAGCTACCAGTGACATATTAGATATGCCAAAAACAGTAACAATAACGGGCCTCATTCCCCTGACCCTGAAAGAGCCTCCAATATGGCAGCATTGAGAAAGTTGAGTAAGGAGAAGCTGCTAAAATCTCAGGGCTGGGACGAATAGAGACTTTACTAGCAAGTAAATTGATAAGCAACAGGATGACAGTGACAGTGATACAGTGATGTATCTTTGTATTTGACTCTTATAAGCACCTTATAGTAGAAGTTGGGTCTTGACCATTTTATTCATTCTGATACTGTTTTCCTTTCACTAGTTCTTTTTTTTTTAAATGAATAGCCTTGAGATACAATTACAGACTTACAAACTTTCATGATTATGTTTCAGTCATACAATGATCGAGTACCCATCCCCCCAGCAATGCCCATTCTCCACCATCAATGTTCCCAGTATCCCTGCTGCCACACCCCACCTCATCCCCACACTGCCTCTGTGGCAGGCACATTCCCTTTTACTCTCTCTCTCCTTTTGGGTGTTGTGGTTTGCAATACGGGTACTAAGTGGCATCAAGTTTGGTCCATAGTCTACTTTCAGCACACATCTTCATCTTGAGTGAGCCCTCCAAGCATCATTTACTTGGTGGTCCCTTCTCTATCTCAGCTGCCTTTTCCCCCAGCATGTGAGGTCAGCTTCCCAGCCATGGAGCGATCCTCCTGGCCCTTACTAGGAGTTCTTAGACTACACATAAAAGGATTATTGATGTGATTAGGTTTAAGTCTACACTGCTGTTAATTGCTTTCTATTTGTATCATCTATTATTTTTAGAAATTATTCTTTTGGGTTAACTGAGAATATTCATGTTCTATTTTATTTATTTTGCATGTTAACTAATTATTAAATTTTTATTAAAGAGGTCGTAGAAAGGTTTACAATATATTTATATCTATGACTTATCCTTCTATTTTTTAGTGATAACATACCATTATATTACTTTGTGTATAGTGTAAGAACCTTACAAGAGTATTCTTCTGTTTCTCCCTTCCTAGGCTGGAACTGTCATATATTTAATTTCTCTGTTATAAATTCCACATGTTGTTATTTTTTGTTTAAGTAGTCTATGAACTTCTTTAAAGAAATTTAAATCACAGGAAGAAAATACACACAATTTCCCACCAGGTTATCAGAATGCTCTGCATTCCTTTGTTAGACACGTATTTCCATCTGGTATCATTTTCCTTCTGCCTGAAACACTAGCAGAGACTAGCTTTGCTGCTAGTAATTCTTGCAGGTTTTGTGTATCTGAGATTGTCATTATCTTGCCATTTGCTTTGAAAAATATTTTCACTGGCTATGGAATAGCGACAGATTCCCAGGATGGTGATTTTTTTTTCTTTCAGAACTATCACGATGTTGTTTCTGATTGCTGAACCTGCTGTCATGTGGGATTGTGTTTCTGTAACTGCCTCAGAGATTTCCTCTAGACTACTGGTTCTGGGCAATGGGATTGTCATATAACTTGGTGTATTTTGCTTCATGCTTCTTATGCTTGGGATTTGCTGAAATCCTTTGTTTGCTGAACTACTTGGTGAAAACTGTTTCCAACAAGTTTGGAGGAAAAATTCAGCTTTAATTTTTTTCAAATATCTTTTCCTATTATTTTCTGCATTTTCTCTCTCCTAGAATGCCAGTTACAACTATAGCATATAATTCCTTCTGTAATCCACATGTTACTGAAAAATATCTTTTCTCTGAAAAAAATATTTTCTGTTCTTGTGCTTCTTTTATTTATTCATCAGGTTCAGGGACTTTAGCCGAGGGCTTCACATTTGCCAAACATGCTTTTTACAACTAAGTAATATTCCTGACCCTGTGTTTTTTTTTTCAGATGGTTCCTACTATTGTATCTTTAAGTTCATGTTTAATGAACTAATGCATTGCTATCTTTTACTTTTCCAAATATTTGGCTTGGGTTATTATAATATTTTGCTTTATTGTATCAGTATTGTATAATATTGTATCCTCAATTTTAGAAGACATGCCACATGGTCAGAGTGTTTAATACTGTTTTTTGTTGTTTACTCTAACATGTATACTGATACTCTGGCCTGAATGGCCTCTCCAAGGGACTTAACATTTACTTCAGCACTACCAAGACGAGAACACTGGTCTCTATCACCCAAGAATTTTGAATTTTGTCGTATCATTGAACGTGGTTGGTCAGTCTTTACTCTCTGCCAATCTCTTAGGCTAAAGCTATTTAGTCTGGTGAGTTACTGCTCTGGAACACCAGCACCAAGCCCAGAGCCAGCTGCGGCGACTGTGATGTGTGTGTAGCCGCAGGACGGGGCTCCTGGTGTGCATCAAGCATCTCCCCACCTGCGTCTGTCACCACACCTGTGTCTGTTGCGTGCCCATCTGCATTTTCACTGCTCATTGGTGATCACGAGGATCTTTTGCCGAGTTTATTTCTCTGCTTCACTGCTTTGCCTTTCACTGACCATATTCAACTAGATTGGTTTTTCTCATTCCTTCATAACAGCTAATGTTTTACTGAAGACTTTCAACTTTTTAAGAATAAACTTTATATTTTATAAAAGCAGTAGAAGGCCTTTAAGATAAATTAACCTTTGTATGCAAATTATTTGCAGAAAGCATTTATATGTTACTGTGATAACTTTTTGTATATTGAAACTAAATACAGGGCTGGAGAGATGGTGAAACAGACTGAAACCACACAGGAGGCCGGGGTTGGACCCCAACACCTCAATATGCATCTCCTGAGCATGGTCCGAGCTGGGAGTAGCCCCCCTAGTATCTCAGGGTGGGCTCCAAACCAAAACAAATAAATAGAAACTGATTTGGAGGTAAAAACCACGCTCTCAAAGGCACACATGTTTGAACACTATAAAACTATAAATTACATACAGAAATACCTAACATATATAAATATATTATACGTATTTTCATCTCTAGTTGACCACCATAGATAAATGCCTTATGTTCTTTTGAAACAACCTGCTGGATTCTTAATGCCATTTTGCTTTCTTAATAATGAAATGGAAAGCCAGGGAGAGGAAGCGGTCCCAGAGTTGGTATTTTCGGCTGATTAAATATTTCTGGCAGCGTCCCGCCATCTGTATTGGAAGTGCTCTACATACGGGACCGCGGGTTTGCAATCATCTAAGATCTTTTCGGAGGGGGAAATGTCAAAGTCCTATTCTAGGATGTTTGCTTCTCCTCTGAGGAGCAGCGACAGCTCTAAAAGGAACAGGGTCCCCACATCCCCAGCTGTGTGGGGGTGCCAGGCTGGGTTTCTGAACAGAGATGTAGCTCTAGAAAGTGATCAGAGCCTCTGGCATTTGTGAGAGCAGAGGTGGTGCATGGGGTCAGGTGGACCCTAGGAGCATTCAACTCAGAGGCCAGAGACGGGACTTGTCCCTCCCTGCTGCAGATGTCAACTCTTCAAATGCACCTCCCCAGACCCCACCGCCAGCCCCTGCCAGCTGTGTGCCCATGTGATCCTGCCCCCACGGGCCCACTGACCTGTCTGGTGCAGGTGGTCCCTGGCCACCTCGAACAAGCGCAGGTGCATGTGGGTGATGGGGTTGAAGGAGCCGCAGGCCAGGAGCACCACAGGGACTCGATTCTTCATCTCGTCAGGCCCGTCCACAGCTGTCACAGCGGCCACTCTGTCCTCCTGGGGACAGAATCTCACGTCAGGGTGTGGGCCACAGGGCAGCTTTTCCGGTCAGTGCCCTGCAGCCGCGTCTGGGGCACTGTTTCTCTTCCCCCCAGAGAGATGGCCAAGGATGCAACATGGGGACCAGCAAGGAGGAGGCCTCGCCATGGACGCGCCGGGACCAGGAGGGTGGCCAGCACCACAGCAGGAAACATCTGAGGGTCCTCCTGGGCTCAGGGAGGGATGTGAAAGCCCCAGAGTCCAGGGAGTGCACCCGGTCCAGCCCCCTGCGCACTGCAGGCTGGCTATGGTTCCATTGAGGCTGCTGGAGTCCCGCGCCCCTCCCTACCAGGGAGACAGCTTACAGGATACTTCAGCCACTCCCTCCCTTTTGATTTCCTCTGCTCCATCCCCAAGTGCCCCAGGTGGGCTGGACCAAGTAGAAGGGGTGTTTCTCCCCTCATCCCAACTCTGGCAATGTGGCCACCTGCCGGTCAGGAGACAAGCATGGAGCAGATGAGTGACTGGAACCCACCAAGCCCCGTCCTTGCTCTGGTTCTATCTCACCATCTATGGTCCTGGCCTTCTTGAGACAGAGGAATGGCCCTTCCAGTTTCTGGGACTCAGGAGGGTCCCCGTGGCACAAATAAATGTGTTATCCTGCCCCACTGTGCCATGTTCAAGCCAGAACGAGCCCCAGCCCTCCCCCTCTCCCCGTGCACAGGTGACAGGAGTGCGTCCCTCAGCAGGAGTGACATCACGGATGTCATAGTGTCAGTCACCCTGACAGCAACCCTCTTCCCAGGAGAGCCATGTCCACGTCCAGGGCAGGCCCAGTACTGGTCCCCAGTCCATACTCGGGGAGGCTCCTCATTGAGCATCTGCATCCTAGTGTGCCGGCTGCTGGACTGGAGGATGCTGGGGGAAGGGGGAGGGGGGAACCTGTCCTCGCCTTACTTCCCGTCACCTACAGGAAGGCCTGTGGACACTCAGCACACTCTGGGGTCGGGCTCGAGACCTTAATCCCTTTGGGCAAGCGCTGGTCCCAGAGCCAAGGCAGAGGCCACCAAAGGCCCGTTTATATTAACTGGCGAGGCCGGGCTGGCCAGAAGGAGGAGGGGGAGGACCAAAGCAGTGCTCCACCCACAGCCTGGACGGAAAGGGGGGAGGGGTTCACTTCCGCGCAAGCGTCCTAGATGCGGAAGTGACCAGTGGCCGTGTCCCCCAGAGTTTTCTGGACGTGGCTCGAGGCATGGCCACCACCTTGGGAATGGGAGGAAGGTAGAGAGGGAGGTTTTGGCCTATTTGGGGCAGGGGAGATGTGGCCGCCGGACAGGGTGCAGGGGACGCTGGGCCAGCAGGACCACCACGGGCACATGGCCGAGTGGGTGCGGACCCGGAGACCGTGGAGGGCACATGGAGCACAGGGCCGGGGGTCAGGATGGCATCGTTAGGGTGCTGGGGACTCGGGAGGGTGCATCAGGAAGCCGGGGTGACTGTCCCCAGGGCCCCGCTGCCGAGCCTTGGTCGGGCTGTGCCCGATGCCCAGCGATGGCCTTTCCTGCAACCTACATCGCACCCCAATCACCGGAAAATGTGGTGCTAGGCAACGCCACCCCATCGACTACATCTGAGCGACGCCTGCTGCCCAAAGGCCCCTTAGTCACAGGATGATGGAAACACGGATGGGCAGGGCGAGCGGAGAAATCAGCTCGTCCCTGTGCGGGGACCAGGTGTGCGGGGACCACGCGTGCGTCTTAGCCCGCGAGGCAATGGACCTTCCCCGCCACGTGAACGGGGCTGCAAACTCCACCGTGCACTACAGGCAGCCACACAGACTGGAGACGGATTCTGCAGACATCTCCTACGACACAGACACTTCAAAGAAGGTAGGAGCTCCGGGGGAGTGTGGTGGAGGAGCCTGGGGGTGGAGAGAGGGCTCAGGGGCCCCGGGCTTTGCTTGCTCCTGTGCAAGCCCCTCACCTTCACCAGGGAACACTGGGCGCTTTGCCTTTTTCAGGTTGGGTCAGGCTCGCCCACTGTTGCTATGGGCACCCAGGGCTGCCGCGTGCCAAGCAGAGCGAGCTGCGTTTGTGGGAGCAAAGGGTGCTCAGCCCGCTCCCCTCCTGGAGGCAACAGACATGCTAATTAAGCGCACCTCCTAATTAGGAGGATCCCCGGCTGGTGATCATGGGCAGCCTGGCAGCTGCAGTTTTGAGAACTTTCAAAAGATTGGAAGCAGCACCGGGAAAGGACGGAGGCTTCCGGTGACCCCGCACGCAGAAGTGGGGCTGGTTTCCAAGGCTGCAGGAGGGGGACGTGAGTAAGAGCCACTGGGCTCAGAGTGACAGAGCGGGGTTGTGCTGTGCCCCCCGAGGGCCCTGGCCACAGATGCGCTTGTTTCAGCACTAGAGTGAAGAGCCAATGAATGTCTAGCCTCAACGAACCACACAGGAGCTGGTGATAGTCAAGCCGTCATGCCACCCTCTGGCCTGTCGTCAAGAATCTGGGCACTAACCACTTAGAATCTAGAAGGGAGTGGGGAATGGCAGGAGGAGGCATCTCAAAATTATTAGCTCCTTTATTCTTTCTCATATTCAAATGAGATGGCACTAGACACCTTACATCTGCATGTACGTTTAGCTAAAAAAGATTCTCCTCCTTCCTTCCTTCCTTCCTTCCTTCCTTCCTTCCTTCCTTCCTTCCTCTTTCTCCTCCTCCTCCTCTTCCTCCTCTTTCTCCTTCCTTCTTCCTTTCTCGTTCATCTTTCCTTCTTCCTCCTCCTCCTTCCTCCCTTCTCTTTCTCCTTCTTACACAGCTTACAGTGCTCTTACTCCTGTCTCTGTGTACAAGAATCACTCCTGACAGGGCTCAGGGGACCATAAGGGGGGGCCCAGGATAGAACCCGGGTCATACATGTGCAAGGGAAGTACCGTCTTTGTCCATTGTACTATCTCTCTAGCCCTGGTGCCACCATTTTCCCCGGTGGTTCATATTCAAACCAGACAAGGCTGTGGAACATGCATCCACTTGCTCAGATCAGCTTTGACTACCTGTTTGGTCTGGGGTCTAGCTCAGCCTTAACTCAGCTCCAAGCATCACTTGCCCCTGAAATGGATTTCCAATGTCTGAGTTGCTACTGGAAAACAGGAATGGGAGGTTTCATGCCATTCCGGTAGAAGGAGCACCTGGTGATGATGAAGAAGAAATATTCTCCCAGTTGCAGCTGGTAGGCTGCCACGGAAGGTAGAAGCCTGGATCTTGGGTCTTGGATCTTGTGAGAGGTGTGCAAAGGAGAAGATAATTAAAATCAGTCGGTCAGCAACTTGGGGGGGGGTGCTGCAGTGGCACGGGGGTAAAGAAACCCAGACTCGAAGCCAGAATACAGGGCTTACAGCATTTGCCTTGTAAATGGCCAACCCTGGTTTAATTCCAGGCACCACAGGTGGTTCCTGAGCACTTCCAGGAGTGATCCCTGAGTACAGAGCCAGGAATTAGCACTGGTGGGTGTGGCCCCCTACTCCCCAAAAGAAGAAAAGAAAAAAAAAAGAACCCAGGCTCAGTTTGCAAGCTTGCAACCCAGCAACAAGAGCAAACCCTGCGTGCTTATCTCCTCCCTCTTTCTGGACAGACAGAAGTTCGTCTTCAGCTGGAAAAATGCTCATTTTCCAGTCCCCGAGGCCCTGTGACTGAGGACTGGCCTGTAAGCAGAAGTGCTGGATGATGCTTCCAGGAATTTCTGAAAGTCTGTTCTCCCTTATTTCACTCCTGCTCTTTACATTTGAGCTTCTTATACTGTGGGTTGTGACACCCGTGTGGGTAAATGATTGTAGAGGGTTGCAAAAAAGTTGGCAACACTAAAAGTTTTCTGAATCCACACCAAGCAAAAATTAAATCAAGAATAAAATGTGCAATGAACCAAGATGTTGCTCTCCATCTTGCCTTTCTTGGGCTAAAAAGGGGTCACAAGTGGAAAAAAGCTTAAGATACACTGGTCTAGTCTGTGATGGCTGGACTAAGGCAGCTATATTGGACCATGAGGAAGAGAACTAATGTGAGGTTTCAGAGATAATAAGTGAAGAGAAAGCAGGACCCAAGCTACCATCCTAGACTTGGGCATCCCACCTCTCCTAATTCGGGGAGAACTAATCTTTTAAGCTATCAGTCTTCTACTTTTCCTGTGAAATGCAGCTTTGCTGGACCATAAGTGAGGTGCTACCTAGTGAATGTTTATTGAATTACCATGAAAACAAATGAAAAAGTGGCTCACTTTTAGAAGTTTCTATCACCCAGCCAAACTGATTGTATATGCAGAAACTCAAATGATATTGTTTGAAGGGGGAAATACACCTGAGGAAAAAAAAAGTCTACCGTAACTTGATTTTTTATATGAATTTTTCATGGAAGGAAAAAATCCTTACTCAGGACTCCGGGCTGCGGAGACGTGTGGCAGCGACTCTGCTTTTTTCGACAGAACCCCGACTCTGTCCTCTCTCCTTCCCCCCAAGACGGGCTCATTATGGTGTGCCGACGATCTCGGCTTTGAGTGGGCATTTGCCATATGGCGTGGCCATTTAGCGGTTTCCTGGTACTTGACAGAAATGAAGCACCATCGTTTCGCAAGGAGCTTGCATTCCTAGATGGGTCTTTTCCAAATAACAGCTGTGTCTCAAAATTGAGTTACTCCATTTGCCATTTGTGGACATGATAGTCAGACATTTACAAGTGAGCAGAACCTCAAATCACTTGGGCTCTTTCCAGGCTTCTGAGTTTATGAAGTTTTGCAGCAATATTATGAGTTTGCAGCTGTCAGCGAGTTCAAGCCAACGTCCCCGAGCCATTGGGCCCCACGGGCAGCAAGTTACTGCCCACTCTGCAGTAACCCATGAGAAGTGGCCACAAGCTCAGGAGAGAAAGTTCCCGAGGGAGAGAAATGAGCCTCGCTGCTAAGCCTGCACACAAATCCTTCCTTATGGTTCTCCCTCACTCGTGGGGATGACACTCAAGTCTGTAGTGCC